TTTCGACTATTGCCGCTCCATTATATAGGCTTTTAAGGAAAGATGTGCCATGGAAATGGACAAATAATGAAACAATTGTGATAAATAAATTTAAAAAATTAATATCAGAAGCACCAATTTTAACACATTATAATCCGGAAAAACCGATAATTCTAGCTGCTGATGCGTCTCAACATGGAATAGGATCAGTTATATCTCATATCAATAACAACGAGGAAAAACCGATTGGATACGCGTCTCGAACATTAAATGCTGCCGAACGAAATTACAGTCAGATAGAGCGTGAGGCTTTAGCAATTATATTTGGATTAATTAAATTTAAACAATATTTAATTGGCAGACATTTCATTATCATTACTGACCATAAACCCCTAATATCGTTACTTAATCCACATAAAAGAATAACAGATATGTCATCAAGATTAGTAAGATGGTCATTACTACTAGCAAATTATGATTATGAATTGCAACTTCGAGGGACGAAAAAAAATAGTAATGAGGATATGCTTTCCCGGTTTACAATTGACGGTAAACCATCTGCTTGGCAAGAGTTAGATATTAATTTAATAGTATCGGATGCTCCACAATTTATTTCAGCGTTAGATGTAAAAGCACACACAAGAAATGACCCGATATTATCAAAAGTTTCACGTTACATTACAACTGGATGGCCAAAGATAATAGAGGAAAATCTAAAACCGTTTTTCCAGCGCCGAAATGAACTCACGATGGAGGCAGGGTGTATATTATGGGGATTAAGAACCATAATTCCAAAAAAATTACAAGTAAATATTTTGTCTTTTTTACATATGGGGCATCAGGGTTATACTAAAACAAAATTATTGACACAAGAGAACGTTTGGTGGCCGAATATTAACGAAGATATCGAATTACACGGTAAGAATTGTGATTTATGTCAAACAAATAATCCTGGCAATAAAACGATCATAAGGAAATGGCCCTCCGCAAATAAACCATGGGGAAGAATTCATTTAGATTTTGCCGGACCAATTAACGGAGATATATATCTTGTAATAATAGATAGTTTTAGTAAATGGCCTGAAATACAAAAAATGACGACGAATAATTTTACTGAAGTAAGAAAATTGTTGTTAAGACTTTTTGCTATTTTCGGTTACTCCAATACGATTGTTACGGATAATGGCCCCCCATTCCAAAGTAAAGAATTTAGTTTATTTTGCAAACAATTATCAATTAAAAATGTATATAGTGCCCCATACTGCCTAGAACCAACGGAGAAGCGGAGCGATTAGTACAAACTTTTAAAAAAAAAACATAATGATTATAATAAAATACAAGATTTTTTGTTTAATTATCGAAATACGCCACAAATAACCACAAAACAATCACCAAGTTCAATTATGCTTAAATTTCAACACATAGGACCTTTACAATTAATAAAACCAATTTATCCTCATCCATATATACCTCAGTTACCAGGTTTTTTTAATATAAATGAAAAAATATATGCAAAAGATTTTAAAAAAGATAATTGGATACCAGGTATCATCGTTAAAAGAACAGGACCATTGACGTTTTTAGTTGAAACTAAATTAGGGGTATGGAGAAGACATATTAATCAGTTAAAACATAGGTTCGACAATTCCGATTTAAAAAATAGAGAGGAGGGAAGAGAAGAAGAAACGATGCAAACTACACCACAAATGAATGAAAATGATCATATACAAAATTCGATAGCAAAAGACATAGATCCTATACACGAATTTGTGATAAAAGACATGGACCCAATACAAGACTCAATAAACAAAGACACCATCATAAATGATAAGATGAAAATCGACAGTACAAGCAGCCGTTATCCAAAACGGATAAGAAAACAATTTATACCGTTTCAAATCGAGAGCCCAAAAAAGGAGAGAATAGATGAAATAGAAACAATTAGCCTCAAAGGCAATTAAATATATGATGAATTTAAAATATATATATTATTAATTGTGTACGACGATTATTTGTTTGTTTTGTAAAATATATATATACTGCGGTACAAAAGGTAAAAAGTTGTTAAATTTATAATAAAAATATTTCATCACACTAGTTTTATATTAAATAGACTTACATTTAAAAATAGGAATTACATTTTGATGTTAAACTAAATATCTAGTATAGTTTAATTCAAATTACCCACTCTGATATATTCTATATAAACTAAGATAAACTTTTTTTGAATATATCAATTAATAAGAAATTATTGTAAAACAATATTATATAAAAATTGGTCAGTACTTTATTTCTATTAGATGTTAATATAATATGACAGAATAGGTAATTTAAGTTAAACTATAGTATTTATATTTAGTTTAACATCAAAATGTAATTCCTATTTTTAATTCACTGTAAGTTTATTTAAATATAAAACACATTAATAAATAAATAAAAGTATAAAAATAATTTAATGCAATGTTAATTAACTTATTTAAACAGAAGATTTATAGTAAGATTTTTATTATTTAAAAATACAAATTTAGAAAAATATTCATTACAAATGCCATTCTTTAATCATATTTTTTTATTTTGCATATATGATAATGGTAAATGCTAACTAACATATTATAATAGTAAATAATTTATAATATTAGAATTCTGAATTTAAAAAAACAATGATTATAAATAAAAAATTATTATATCATTAAAATATTGCTGACTATTTTATTTATTGTCATTTAAATTCTATGATCCAAGTTTTTATAATGAGATAAAAAATAAACCATATAATATAAAAATGAATGTAAAAGGTACTTGATTTCTATTAGATGTTATTTATTAATAATAGAATTATATAATTTTTTCATAATTATTAGCAGGTATTATTCTAAAAGCTTATTAATATCTTATATATAAATTTGTTAATTTAGCCAAGAATAATATGTCTGATTTTAATATATCTTATCTAATTAACAGATAAATTGTCTAATCTCTTATAAATTAAGTATTTAAAGAAAAAACAACAAACCTGGTATTATTTGATATTTAATGTTGATAATATAAAAATATTTAATTTGATATATAATGTTGATAATATAGAAATATTTAATTTGAAAAGAAATCACCAATTTAAAAAATGCCCCCAAGGAAAATTAAAATTTTAAATTTAGGTTAATAATTTAAAATTAATTATTTTTAAAACCGTTTTGAACCGGTTTAAAATATTTATAACGGTTCGGTTCACTCTTTTAATATATTCTTCATAACGGTTAGGTTAAGCAGAAAATCATAACGGTTCATTCCGGTTTTGCGGTTCGGTTCGAACCCATGGCCAGAAAGTAAGTACTGCATGATGTATATGGACGCCATTCTTGATAATTTTCTTAAATTCCAATAAAATAATTTATTACATAATTTATCAACCTGGCCCGGTTATTTTTAAAAACAAATCTTTTAGGACCGGCCCGAATATATTTAAAAATATTATATTCCGGACTGGACCCGTGTACCCAGGCCAGGCTTAACACCGTGCCTGCAGGTCTCTGATATTAATGATGTGACAATGATAGTTTTTAAAACATTAAAGGCGAGCTATGGAAGTTAGTTTAACCAAAATAGCTCATGAGGTTCTCTTACCTTCAGCCAGGGAACCCCACATTTATAGGTAAATTTTAAAAAAACCATAGGCCGGCAAGTGAATGGGTTAAAAAACAATGGGCGGGCATTTGGGTAAACCAGCTTACTGCAGACCTGAAAAATATTGTCCAGCATCTGACTAATAGTGGCCTAGTGGAATAATAGAGCCTGGCCTAATTTTTATAAAAACATATGTGGGAAATATCTAAAACTTAAAATATTTATTATATTCTCCTGCTTAGTTATTGTTATGCAATAAATTTAAATTCAGCGATATATTCTAAAATATTAGATGTTTATATTTGGACCAAAACCCAACCGATATATTTTTAAATAAACCTGTACGGGCCTGAAGATTTATTTTTTTAGCTTGGAATATTTTTTTACCTAGCCACTAAGCCAGGCCATATATTTAAAAATTTGACTATTATAATATATAATTTTATAAAATATAATAAATTTATAAATTATATCATAGTATGATATAACACATTCATTTACTTCTCATCCTTTCAAAAAAATTTCATAAAGTTGTTTTTTAAATATTCACTTATTTATTTATTTTTTGGCAAATCAAACAATTTAAATTCGTCCTTATACTTCTATTATACTAGGTTAAAAAAATAGTTGGTAATTTATAAACAATTACAATATAATAACCCCATATAATATTACTCATCTTTTAAAAAAATAGCAGAGAAAAAAAATTTATTTTTAATATGGTAGGGTTTGCAATTGGTATCTCTGCAGGTTTCTGCAAAATATATTATCAAATATTTCCTACTCCCTGGTTTTTTTTAGATATTTTATAATTGTGATATTCAATCATGCAAAAGGAAGAAATTAAGAAAATATATTATTGATGATGTTCCCGCTGGCCTGGAAGTACTTTAAGACCACAATATAATCGATCAATGTACATTAACTTATCAAATATTTAAAATATTACTTTCAAAAGTAATTTAATATAAAAAAATGATATTAATTAAATGAATGCACTATTGAATTAAAAATGAAGATATGCTATGTAAAAAAATTATAACCTGTTGATGACTAAGTAATTACTGTTAAATTTTTAAAAAACTCATAATCCTAAAAAAATTAGAAAATTAAAAAAAAATACTAGCCCAACTCTAAATCCAATTTATGATACGATCCAAAAAGTAATTTTAAAATTAGGATAATATCGGCTCAAGGCACTATTAGGTTGGCTTGCTTTGCTGACAACTACTTCATACATTAACAAATAATAACATAGGCTGCTAAAATACCTCATATCCCCATAATTATGTGTTTAAAAATAAACTTATAAAATAAAGGAGTAATAAAACAACCAAACAAATATATATATAAAAAACCAAATAATGTTAAAAACGAAGTTTGAATTAAAAAACATGTACCTATAAAACGTGGAACCAAAACTAGATGATTAGACAAGCTATCCTTTCCATAAAAGGTTAATTGATAAAGCGTTTCTAACGTCCTGCACAAAATAAGTATGTCCCCATATAATGTAAGCAAATTGACCAATCTTCCGCACACATCCAGACCCATCTTGTTGATCAAAATGTTCAAATTAATATCGTGACAAATGTTTCCCAGAATTTCTAAGCCTTGGGGGGGGGGGGGGGGGGTGATATGAATATAACTATTTAATTTGTTTAGGATCGTTTCAAAGAAGAAAATAAATTAAGTTAAATAGATCTATAATTTATACAAAATTCGTATGGATATTATATAAAATCTGAATAAAAAAGTAAAAAAACAGCAACTTCACTGTTCTTAAAATTTTTAATAGCATTGTGATCAGAAAATGATTAAAACACTCCTTTTTAAATGGTTTAAAGAATAATTCTGAATATTTCTTTTCAGAATAAAAAATAAGGCTGTTGAGAAATAAACAAGCTTCATTCTTATAAGGAGAACAGGTAAAAATTTGTAAGATTTGGGTAATTTATATCCTTATAAAATATTTGTCTTTCTATATTTAGATAAGTGTATTTCACATTAATACTCAACCAACGTTAATTGCAATTGAGACTCCTATATTCTTGATCAATTTTTTATATTTCTTATTACATATTTTGATAATATTCTAATCGCGTTTATTCCAAATATATGATGTCTTTTTAATCAATTACGTATAATAAATAATACATCTGTAATATCTTATAATTAGCAAGGACTCTTTGCCATTATATGTAAATATAAATACAAAAAGCAGGATTATATATTCTTTTACATGAGAAAAATATCCTTCAAAATCTTTTACTGATATCAACCAAATCCAATAGTTATTTTTCATTTTTCATCATTCATTTAAAAAATATTTTAAAAAGTAAATATTCGTCAATAAAATATGTTCCTTCCAAGTTCCGACAAATTATGCAATAGATTTTCAACTTGTGGATATGGATAATATATCGTGAATAACAGAGCAGAAAATTATGATTTTCTATCAAAACTTTGACAGTGTACCCTACTATATCAATTTGATGGCCACAGTGAAAGTTTTCTCGTATAAATTTATGTCATGTTAAACCAGTGTTTTTACTGCTTATTGAGGATATAGGAATTGGAAATATAAGATAACTAGGTAAGAGTAAACAAAAAAAATCTAAAAAAATGTAGATTACAAGGCTTTAAGTCCTGTAAGACATAAATTTTTTGACGTAACCTAAACATAAAATTAATTTTATATACCGACCCAAACTGAAAATCAAAATATAAAAAAAAATTATTTTAGTATTGCTATAAGAAATCATCTAAAAAACAAATTTATAAAATAAGCCATGATTTTGATTGATACAACTGATAAAATTAAAGAATATAACAAAATATTTCCAAACTCGACCCAACACAACACACCTGAAAAAAATTATCAATCCGACCCAACCCAAAATAAAAATAATACCCGACTTGACTCAACCAACGGGTTAGATAGGTAAGTTAAAGTTTTGGTTGGATTTATAGTAATGAGGTAGGGTGTATAAAAATTTATTATCAATAGCTGCAAACTCCTAATTAATTCAAAGCGATCATAGGAAAATATGCCGTGAAGAATTGTAACGACTAAGACTTCTACAATGACGGGAAACCTGGAAACGGCCATTTTGGTGAGATTTAAAAATTTGGATATGTTGGATAATGTATCGAAGGCTGATGATCTGGCTTCAGGAATGTCGCAATGGATGGTTAACAACAAGACTCTAAGTAATTCCATTTTTAGAGGGGGGAGGGGTAAAATAATTAGTATTATAATGTATATAAAAAGGTTAATATGTATTAATTGTGTTTCAACTAATTATTCTAACCAAAATTTTCTTTTCACGTAATTTTTGGAAGGTCATAAAGCTAGATAAAGTAATTATTACCATAATATAAACATTATAATGCACATTTTCATTGAATTATTAGTAAATAAATACGTCACAAAAACGAGATTACAGATTATACATATTTAACAAAAAAACTAAAAGTGAATATAAAATTTTATCTAAGTATTTCCCTCAATTGTTCTTATTATTGATTTATTCCTTTAAAATTACAATAGAAAAAAGTATTTATGTGATCCAGCAATGATATAGTGGACGATGTAATACTTATATAGAGAATTAATTATACGCGCAAATTTTTAATCGAAATATGCAGTTTAAAATAATATTTCCAATTTTTAACCATTGAGCAGTTATTTTTAGAAATTATTTTCGCAGTATTTAATTATTTGCAGTTAATAAATTTAACAATTTTTTTAAATTTAAAAATAAGCAATTGTATTATAAGATCTGGTATTGTAAGCCCGATTCGTGTCGATTTTTAAAAACGGCCAGATTACGATTATAACCAAGACTATATTATGTATGCTTGGAGATTCATTGATGGCAGAAAAGTTTGGACAACTATTTGCTAAATCTTTAGCTAAAATTTAATAGGTCGGTTTTTAAAAATCAATCCAGGCCACTATATTATCATATATAAAAAGATTAATCTATGGTTTTAAGAAATAGGGAATCAGGGTAGGTATTTCTTTCTCAAATAATTTAAAATTTAATAAACTTTGAGATTTGAAATTTAAGCCATATATGTATTTTAATAAGGTGCTTAAGTAGGTCTAAAATTATTTCAGACAAAATTGCTCATAAAAAATTTTAAAAGCATAATTTATTATAACATACCTAAAGTAACATTTTTAAATTTTACATTTTGACTAATAACTTTTTTTTATAAAAGTTGTTCAGACTTAATATTAATTCAAAATGATAAAAAAATCTGTTTATCATATATAAAAATATTGACAATCATTAAGTTAATTTAATATTCTAAATAATTTTTAAATAATCCCGAGGACCTGGGGAAGGTATTAGCGGGGTGCGTCTTATCTTTCTACATACATTCATTAAATTACCAGTTCTGATTTTGCAAAATGGTACGAACATATTTCAGAAAAACAAAAAAAATAATGATAATCAAAAGGCAATCATTCCTCAAATGATGAAAGATAGGTTCTTTTGACAGCTATAGCCTTTAATACAAATTTAAGTTATGGGAGGTATATTAATATATTTAAATCAATATATTTAAGAAAAAGAATTAAGAGGTATCATAAATCTCAAAAGGAAAGTAATGAAGATTTTCAAGAGCGATATGTTGACAGATCAGTATTTACTCCTATCCAAGAAGCTAAATTAACAGAATATTTAATTAAAGGATCAAGACTATTCTCAGGATTATGCCCTAAACAATTATTTTAATTATTTATTATATCATAAATTCTCTGTAAAAGAATTTTGTTATAAAATTTAAAATTGTGCCATGGTATTTCTTTAGTTAAATAATAATAAACTTGAGAACAATTTAATAAAAAATTTTTTTCATTATTAAATATATTATATGTTAATGAAACTGTTGTTTCAGCACTGTTTATAATTTATATTACCCTTTGTTTGTACGATATAACTTGTTTATTTTCTCTATGTTTGTACATTATACGTATATTACCATTTATATATTTTTTTGTTCACTTATACCGAGCCTGTTTTGATTTCATCCTCAAAATGGTTCTAGCCAGTTTTCGAGATGGACGAGGATGAAATTAATATTTCTTTATTGTTCGATTGAAAAAAAAGGGACGAATTGTGATCATTAAAAATTTTACTTATTTTTTTATGAATTTGATGTTCTTATGAATTAACTATTAAAATAAAATTCGCATTTCAATAATTACCTGTCCTAGCTACTGGGATTTTATGACGAAGGTCATATATAAATCCGGTCCCCCTGTCCCCATTATTCCGGACCCTCGAACCCCGTCAATATCTCCCCTTCCCTGACGGTGGGACCCGTCTGTCCAACTACAACATCTTTATTAATACTAAAATACTTTCATTTAACTTAAGCATTAAAATGTGCCATGTATATATATTAATTTAAAAATGATTTATACATGATTTAGCATTATATATTATATCAATAAAAGATTTAATTTTCTGTCTATGATATATATTTAAATAAAATGATGCTGCCATGTATATATATTAATTTTAAAATGATTTCATTGATTTAGCTTTATATTATATCTTGCATTAAAATATATTTAGGTTCTTACCTATACATTAAAAATTACTATGTATATATTTTAAATAATCTTAGCAGAAGATTGTATATTTTAATTCTAAAATAAATTCTGAAGAGCACAGTTCAATTACTTCAATTTGATGAGATGTATGATTATCTAGAATAAGTAAAACTTTTTTTCCAGGACTGGGTTTAGCATATTTTACAAAATGTTTTAAAAAATGTATAAAAACTTCAGCTTAATATTTTCAGAAGATTAACAACATTCAACGGCCTAATACAGTTATAGCAAGGAAAGGCGAGAAACAAGTTGGGGCAATTACTACATCAGAACGCGGTGCACTCATGACCTTGGCAATTGGCGTTAATACCTTAGAAAATTCTATTCTACCTATGTTTATATATCTCCCAAAAAATCTTTATGATCGTTATTTAATATATGGCCCTGTAGGATTCTTTGGCATGTCCAATGGTTCTGGATGGATGCTGGATGAAGATTTTATACATTTTTTAAAACATTTTATAGAATATGCTAAGCCCAGTCCTGAAAAAAAAGTTGTACTTATTATAGATAATCATACATATCATTAATGTATTGAAGTCATTGAGCTGTGCTTTGACTAGCATTGCCTCCCCATTGTACTCATAAACTTCAACCATTGGACTCCAATCATTGGATAGAACTGTTTTTGGATAAAAAATATTAAAATAGTCCCTTGGATGCATGGATGAGAATGCACCCAGGGAAAATTTTTACTTTTTATGATATCTGTGGAATGGTAAAGGAGAATCTTCCAAAAGCCATACGGCTTCAAATATTCGGGAGGGTTTTGAATCCTTTGATTCTTAATGACGAAAATTCGAATTCATTAATTTTAATAATAATAAAGATCCTAATGAGACTCAACTAAATTTATCTGAAATTATTTCGCAATCAGCTTTCAATGATAGTCCAGCTTCAAGTTCATATGTCATCATCCATTTTAACGTAATCTCCATATAAAAAAAATGGCCAAAACTAAGGCCACTAATCGGGAAAACACCACCCGCCCATTATGGGGGAGAGATTGACCTCCAGTTGAATAGATCTTTTATTAGCTATCGATTGATACCCTATATTAGACATATCTTATTACATAAGGCCAAAAAAACAACATTGAAAATAATAAATAACAAATAATTTTAAAAAAATAAAGCGAAACGCGCGTAAAACGCATTTTAAAATAAGATTCTTCTATATCATGGTAGGGTAGAAACGTGATAATGCCGTATAATCCTTTAAAAAATTGAATTCTTAAAGGGATTCCTTTAAATCCCGTGATGATCACGGGTAGTTATGATCCCTTTAAAATTACGACATATATAAGGACTAAAAACGATTTTTTAAAAATAATACGACCTTGAATTTTTTTAAAAATTTAGTAGACATTACTAAACTCTTCCTTTATATTTATAAAAAAAATTTGTCTGGGACCATTCTTCATTCTCAAAATCGATTAAAATGTTTAGAAAAGTGTATAAATATTTTTCCGAAAGGGTGCGTCTTTGAATAAAATTATACTTTAATGGTTTTTTCTTGAACTATTTGATATGATTTAAAGGATTATTCATCTTGTAAGTGAAAATAACAATAAATGGGGTTTTCGTTCAATTATATAAAATGTCTATCGATAAAAGAAATTCAATTTATTACTTTATTTATAATTTATTATAAAAATATTTGCCCACATAACATATATTTAATGAATATTAATAAAATATATTCAACAAGTTTATAGTTCTTGAATATATGAATCAGAATCTTATGCATTTCATATATGGCGCCCTAAATATTAAAATTATTGATATAATATAAATTTAAAAATCAAATATATAACTCACTTTTAATTGCTAATTCTTTGGTAGCTAATGTACTTTCTTGTGACGACAATGTATAATAGGCCCCACAGTTAATGGTGAAACACCAATTAGAATCATAAACACACGTTATGTATCCTGATATTTCTCCAAAAATTATACTTTCATCATTATATGATAAATATTCTATAGTGCTTTCTATTGAATTGGAATACATTTTACTTTTAAATTGATAGAGATTTGTTGGAATCATGGTGTATAGGTCTAGTTTTTGAAAATCTTTCCCTCAGTAATAATTCTTTGTAATTATAATTTTTTTATTTTCTTTAGTGAACTCGTACAATTCATATGATATGGTTATTTGCTTTGAGTAAGGCCTTTGTAAACTAGCTCCAGCGGCTAATCTTTTAACAGTGCGATCAATCCCATCACAAACATCTTTCCCTTGTGCTGTAGCAGAAGAATGTCATTCCGCCTGTTCCTTGAAATCCATCTCATGATGGCAAATATTAATAAAATTTTAACGATTTTTATACTGTGCAGCGGATAATTTTATTTGGCATACAAATTTTATTATTAAAAAATTTGCTAATGATTTTTTGGAAATAATGTACTGCTATTGTATTGTGTTGCAAAGATTCGGATATCATTACATAATTTAGGCGACAAATATTGGCAAAATTATCTTTATAATATAACAAAAGGGTGAACAGTGGACTGAGCCCTATTCCAATTATAAATGTACTTCTCTTGAAGTATAAAGCTATAGTTTTCTGAAAAATCACTTAAAATTAAATATTGGCCTTCGTTTAAGTTCAATTTTAGATTGTTTAGATTTTTGCGTTGAAATAAAAGAATGGGGTAATAAAAATTCCATTTTTTCAAAAAAAAGGCATTGATAAATCCATCTACTGGCTTGGTTATTGTTTCAAGAGTGGTTCTATCTACGGATAGCCATTGTTTGTATGTTATAAATTCGAAGTCCTTAGAACGAAACAATATTTCTATTTGATCGTGTAAATGTGTTTACCCTGGACAATTATCACATTTGCCCATATAACAGGATGGTTGAGGCGGATTACAAATTATTAAGGGTAAAATATGTTTGTATGTTTTAAAGGGCATCATATCATTGGTTAAATTGGGTAAATTTGATCCAATGATCATTAATTTAAAATTGCAAACACATACATGATGTGTAGTGTACCACTACCTCCAACGAGTATACAATTTTTTGAGCGCATGCTTGCAAATTTCGAAAAATCAATTTTAACATCAGGGCGAATTTCTTTAAAAAATATATAAATTTCTTTCAAATTATCTAAAATTAATCTCTTTTGTATGGTATTCTTTTTTCCGTCTTTGGTCAAAATCGAAATGCAATCTTTCTTGCCTGGTATAATTCTGTTTATTTCGTCCATACAAATAAAATTCTTGTACAATTTTAACTGTATTAATCTTTAATTTTTCCAGGCTTGGGGTTAGGTGTTGATAGAAATCAAAATACCAAGAAATTAATTTAAAAATGAATTAATATAGTGAACATGTGTTATTGAATGATTAATCAATTGTAAAATTTTATTTATTTTATTGATTGAAACACAGATTTATTGTTATTCATATTTATACAAGTAAGGCTATGCCAATTTTAGAAAAATCCGATCCAATAATTATATTGTTTTAGGTTATTTTATGATGATAATACTTTTATTTTGTATAAAATTTCATAATAATAATAAATTAATATTTGTAATATTTTAAAAATATCAAATTATTTTAAAAAATTGAGTAGCGAAAATTTTGATATTATTTTTGGCGTCATATATGAAATGCACAAGATTTCATATATTCAAGAACTCGAAACTTGGTTGAACATATTTTATTAATATTCATTAAATATATGTTATATGTGCAAATATATAATAAATTATAAATAATGTAATAAATTGAATTTCTTTTATCGATAATAATTTCTATAATTGAATGAAAGCCCCATTTATTGTTATTTTCACTTTTAAGATGAATAATCCTTTAAATTATATCAAATAGTTCAAGAAAAACATTAAAATTTAAATATAATTTTTTCAAAGACGCCCCCTTTCGAGATAATATTTATACACTTTTCTAAACATTTTTATCTATTTTGAGAATGAAGAAGGCCGCGTCCCAGACCAATTTTTTTTATAAATATAAAGGAAGAGTTAAGTAATGTCTATTAAATTATTTAAAACAAAAAATCGTTTTTAGTCGTTATATATTAAAAATTGATTTCTTAATTACATCTGGTTCAAGGGGGGGGGGGGGGAATCAATATAAATATTGATATCGGATCGGTGAAAAATATGGGTTAATGATGCTTACTACCAAGTGAATGTATGGAAATATTTTAAATCCCAACCTAATTTGCTAAATACTGACCAAAATATATTAAAATGTAATAAGACCCTTATTATTTAATATATTAATACGGAATCACGTGGTCGAGTCCGGCCTCCTTAATATTATCCCCCCAAGGATGGAACCACCAAGTTAGATTAAGAAAAATAACATGACCATTCCCGGGATTCGAACCCGGGAGTATGGGATCAGTAAGCCAAGCTCTTGCCGATTAGACCATAGAGGCCTTCCAAAAATCACGATTTTTCAAATATATATTATAAATATATTTGGTAGTGCCTATCCAAATGAAAAATGAATAAAATTCAAATTTGATAGGTAGTACCTTAAGGTAGTAAGCATCATTAACCAAAAATATGTGGATCGGCACAGCCCTAATTATAGGACTCCAATACTAAGTAAGATAACCTATGTCTTTTATGGATTATAGGAAAATTACTAATTATAATACTTAAGCAAAAATTAACTTGGTTTTTTATAACGTCCTTAAACTAATTACATAATATGTACTAAATATAAAATTTCTCAATATCTAAAACCCAACTAATTAAATAATAACTTTTTGGTATTTAAATAGTTTTCTTTTTCTCTCTCTCTTTTCCTTCTTTTCTTTTCTCCTACACACTCATGACTATACTGTACTCTAATACTATCATTGTAAGGGTGTAGTTCCGCTCATTATGATATAACACATCTGAGTTACAAGGTTTGTTGGTACCCTTGAGAATCGGCATAATTATATGGAGGCACGTTCGCTCACTTTGGGCATGTCCATGACTAACGTGCTTGATGTGATATGATATATTAGCGCCCATTAAAATTGTAAAATATTTATTATTTACAGTGTTGTGAGGATTTAATGAAACATATTGACGATTAAATTAAAAATCATCCATATAAAATTATAATCTTTGCAAAAATAACTAAAATATAGACAAAAGCATTATTAAAATTTCTTTTTTTTTATTATTCCTTTTGTTATTTTAGTTATTTTTGCAAAGATTATAATTTTATATGAATGGGTTTTAATTTAATCGTCAATATGTTTCATTAAATCATCACCACACTGTATATATTTTTTCATCGCTTCAAAAATATTGGTGGCCATTTTCTATTTGTAAAAAATTTATTTTAATAGTTTTAAACATATTTAAATGAATATAAAAATGATTTTCTATTCTTTTATATAATTTTTTCAAGGAATATATTTATTTTACAATTCTTGATATCCTATATAATTTTAATTTGTTTACTCATTATTAATAATAATTTTCTAAATTATATTTTAGATTTTATTCGTAAAATTTGAGGTTCGGTCATAAATTATCAAATTGATTTTACAATACTACACCGGGAGTAAACCATAAATAGTAAAAATTTTAAAATCCTAGCTAAGCTTAAAGATAAAAAGCCCTGTCCAGCAAAAACTGGCTTGAGAACAATTTTTTGAATCCGGACAAGGCTCAAAATACAGAACTCTGCAGGTCTCTTATTTTAATATTAGTTAAAAAAAATATTATAATATACAATAATTATAATAGCTTTTTTATTTACATAGTTTCCTTTTTCAGATATACTGACTTTAAAAAGCTTATGCCTTTTTTTAATGCTATCTAGTTAGAAAAGGATATTGAATGAATGGAAGTTGTATTTTAATGTGCAAAAAATAAAAAAAATTTGTCAAGACGATTTGATTGTTATTATTCTTCATAACTTATTAAAATTAAAATTAATTTATTTAAAATATTTAGAAAAATAAATATTTTATTAAATATTGGGTGAGAGGGGCAATTTTTGGGTATATAAATTTTTTTTTTTTTTTTGGGGGGGGGGGGGGGGGTATTCTAGAGGACCAATTTCCCATTAGAGCATAGTTTTGAAATAAAATTGAAATACAAAAATAATATCAAAATAATAAAAATAGAATATATGACGATTTGTCTTTATAAGAATTTTCTAATTGGATTTTTCACTTTTTTCTCGGATCTTTTCCTTTTTGGTTGGACTTTCTCTTTTTCAATAATTTATCCTTAAATGAGGGAAACCATATATATATATCTCATTTTTACGATTAATATATAATATATATTTAATTCCTTCTTTATAAAAAAAATGGACAAATTAAAAATGCATAAACTTCACAAGCGTTAAACTATTGGCTAAAATCATAGCATTTGCAGTAACGAATGACCAGTTACGGAATATATCGCATATTAGTTTGAGCTTTTCCTTCCAATTTTTCTCGTTCCTATTTTCATCTCGAGAATCCTTGCTTTTGAATATAACGTGTGCCTCATCAAAATCATCTGATGCTACCAGGAGATTAAATGCAAAAATAATAAAAAAATATATGAAATTATTCTAGACAAAAAATGGCATTCAAATTTGTATGATTTAAAAGAAGGGAATACGAATATTATAGAGATTTTTCTCATAGTTTTTAATAAAATCGGATTGAACTCCAAAAAACCTATCCATTAAAACTCTTCCTGGTACTCATATTTGGTTGATCTATATTAATATAAGTTTTATTTAAGAATCTATTTTAGTATAGCACAATGAGATAGATGAATAATTGAAACTTCTAGTATTTTTACGAACTGTTTAGTAATTTCAGATCAGTATATTTTTTTTACATTTTTACAATTATTTAAAATTAATATTTTTTAATATAAAAAATGGAATATCTCGGTAGAGTCGAAAGGTCTATTTTTAAAAAATAATTCCAATCCAGGCTGCGTCGGGCCTAATATTTTTAGGACTGTGCTGATCCACATATTTTTCACCGATCCGATACCGATTATATTGATTTTTCAACACCCCCCCTTTGAATCAAATGTAATTAAGAAATCATTATTTTTTATGCAAAAAGTCGAATTATGCATTTGATTTAAAAAAAACTTCTATAATAATTAAAAATGATTTACGGATATTGGTAGTATTAAATAAATTTTTCATTATTCCTGCTGTGAAATTAGAATTCCACAGATAACGCATTTTACAAAATTATCTTTGTCTTTAAAATATTTCCATAATTCAGCAGATACCATATTTAAAACAATTCTTTTATTTAAATTATAAACTTATTATTTAAAAGATTTAAAATAAATAAAACTTTGGGTGTTGTTCCTTTCTATTTTTATAAGAAAACTTATAAAATACTATTCTATTAGTAAAAAGGTCGGATCGGATCGGTTTTTTATAGGTATCGGCCCGATCCGATATTTTTGTAAAATGCTAAATATCGGTGCCGATCCCATATTTAATATAGAGGCACAGCCCTAACTATTTTTAAAAAATTTCGGGCCGGGTCGGGCTTAAATTTTTAATTATGATATCATTATATATATATTTTTAAATTCTTGCAAGAAAAAAAAAATTAAATTTTTCTTAAATAAAAAAATATTAAATTTTTCTTCGGGTCGGACTTTTCTGGACAAATAAAAAAAATTTTTTTTCTGAATCAGGCTTTGCAGGATAAATATTTTTTAAAAAAAAATTTCGGACTTGGCTTAAAAAAATAGGCCCGATGCTGATCACTAGTTTCAGTCGCGTTGCCCAAAATCAAGAAAATGTTTAAAAAAATATTATAAAAATTTTAAAAATAATTCTGTTTTCATAAAAATATTTGTCCAAAATCACGAAAATGTAAAAACAAAAATATTATTGCTAGAAACTTCCATTTCTGAGCAAAGATTGTAATTAGATAAATGAGCATCTTTAATTAATAAATAAATATATATTTAAAATCCTCATTAAATTTATCGATATATAAAATATGTATAAATTTCTATATTTTGTTAAAAATTTATAAAAGTATTCTTATTATAACGTTTTCAATCTTAAAAAAAATTTAGAAATATTTGGCCAAAATCAGGAAAGTGTAAAAAAAATAGAAAATTTTAAAAAAATATTTGGCCAAAATCAGGAAAACAAATATAATATTGTTGATAAAAACTTCCAGTTTTGTGAGTATCTTTTTAATTTAATAAATAAATATATATATTTACATACTTAGAATCGCTGCTAATTTGATGGTGATTCCGATTATATATAAATTTACATATTTTTAAAAATTTTTTTAATTAATTTTAGTAATTTTTGTCTAAAACTAGATATTATATATCGATATATTGCGAATTTAATGAGGATTCCAAATATGTAAGTGAAGATCTCTGATCTGAGTAAAAATGCAATTCCTTACTCTTTTTCTGAGAATAATTACATAAATTTAAATAGGGGTGAAGACAGGAAATAAATTATATCAGCCTATTAAATAAATAATATGAATTAAACTATATTAACAATGTGCTAAATGCGCCCAAATAAATTATAAAAAAATCAATACATTGAATTATAAATTAAATTAACCGAAAGTTGATAAAAAATTTAAAAAGACCGCTGCTGTCAATTAGGGTTTGATGCACAGGTCTGGGTATGTTATCTCCGTCATCGAAATGATTCTGCGTATTAAATATTTTCTATATCTTAACATATAAATTTACATTTACTAAAATAAAAAACATTTTTGTATGAATTGAAAACGAAAATATTATTTTTGATTACATGTAATGTAATTACATGATAAAAAGATAGACTTAAATCAAAATATTTTACTATTCTTTTCTACCTCTTTTTAACTATTTTATATCTATTTATATTAGGGCTATACCGATATTCAATATTAGATTGGGACCGGTATTTCGCATTTTTTAAAATCGGAAATGGCCGAACAAAAAACCGATCCGATCCGATACTTTTATTATTATGGGTAATATTATGATTGTATATATAATTATATAATAAATATCTTTTATTTTATACATATGATAATAATAAATTTATAGAAGATAACAAAATTCAATTTTATTTGTAATGTTTAAAAAAATAGAAATATTCTAAAAGATAGAATAGCTAAAAATTTAATTTTTTTTGTTATATCTGCAACAAAAAATGATTTTAAAATATCTAACAAGTCACATTAAGCTAATGTTTTTAAACGGCTAACTCAAGATTTTAGTCAAATGTAAATTATCTGAGCTTGAAGATTTTGACCACAGTTGGCAAAATGATTTGGAAATATATTTTCAAAATTCGAAACCTAAGGAAATTTTGGCTAAAATTTTGATAGGCGTTTTCATTGCCCTGATAATTAATTTTTTGGAAATAAAAAAAAAACTTTTTTTGAATAGGAATTAATTTTATGCCATTTAAATTTAAATATCGAATAGATATCGCATCGGTAAAAAATTTGTGGATCGGTACGGTACACCCCTTATGTAAATATACAAAATTTCATTATTTTTATATTATAAAAATCATAAAACAACAATCTAAAATAAATTATTAAAGGGTTATTATTAGTCATATTATATAAAATACTAAATATTACAATCCAGTGTCTCTTTACATTAAAACTTGAGAATTTGAAGCTGATATAATAATTTGTGGTAATGTTATAAACGAACGCGTACAATTTGAACGCGTTCTTGAACGAAGTTCGTTTTTTTGAAAAAAATGATGAAGGACGTTTTTTTATTTTTGATGAACTTTGAACGTAAACGCGTTCTTTTTTCTTGACGAACGCGTTTTTTTTACGTTCGTACAATTTAAAATCTTCTCATTTTTATTCATTTAAAAATAAAAAATATTAAATTAATATTAATCCAAATTTTTTAAGAAAAAAGGGTTATTTTTTTAATAAGCTATTTCCTTTATCATAATTGATTTTTTTTAACTAGCCACTTCTTCTGTCCTATAGTATAGTTCATTAATTTTAATATTATTATTTATATTTTATAGTTAGAGTAAGCATGAATGTTGTGATCACATCATCACTTCTGTTTCTGAAAATTCAGAATTAGGTAAATTGACATTACCATGGCCCAAATATAATAAATACTTTACACTAACATCATATATACAATAAACTAATTCTATCCATACCAAATGTAAAATGTGTCTCAGTTTCAAAATCTTGAAGTTCTAAAAGAGACACTTATTGTAATATTTATTATATACTATTAGTATCCTGTTATTTATTTATTTGATTGTTGTATTTTATGTGCTTATTAAATTATTATGATTATTATAGATGCATAAAATAAAAATCATTTAATATTACAATTTAAAGTCGTATAAATTTATATATTTTCTAAATAATTAAATTTTATGTGATATATAAAAGTTTTATATACTAAAAATATTAAGAAATTGGTTTTTTAATAATTTTTTAATTCATTTAAAACTATTAATTTTAAACATTTATATAAATTAAATATTAAATAAAATTTTTAAAAAATTCTTTTTTATTTTTTTCATAAAGTTTGAACAATGAACGCGTTCTCTTTTTTAAAGGTGAACTTTGAACGTGAACGCGTTCGATTTTTGTCAATGAACGTTGAACGCATTCGACCAACGTTCATAGAAATATTTATAGCCTTTTTAGACGTATTTTAAATTTTATAAGGAAAGAATTAGTCCCTTTAATATAGGATGTTACTGTAAAATATTTATTATTTATATGCTATGGTAATGTTAATTCATCTGGTTCTGAATTTTCAAAATCATATGATGATAATGAAATAACAAAATCCATGCTTAGCTAATCTATAAAATATAAATAATAATATTCAGTGGCGGGTTATAAAAATTCATTGATAAAGGAAGCAACTGATTAAGCACTCTTTTTGAAACAAATTGTGTTTAATATTAAACAAATATTTTTTATTTTCAACTGAATAAAAGCAAGCAGATATTTTAAAATTGAACGATTGTAAAATACGAACGCATTCGCAAAAAAGGAACGCATTCATTCTCAAATTTTGTCAAAAATAAAAAGAACGTAGTTAAACATTTTCAAAAAAAAAACTTCGTTTACGAATTGAACTCGTTTGTTTAAAACATAAAATAAAAAATATGCTTCTAATAATTATAATAAAGTTTTATATAATCTTATGTGTGCCAAATAATATTTTTAATAAAATGTTTATTATTAAATATGAACGTTTCTAAAGGTGTTCTAAGTACTAATGATGCAAAATCGCTCCATTTGAGCCGATTTTTAAAATGGCTAACTCAATATTTTAACCAGAAAAATATTACCCAAGTCTCGAAAATTAGCTGATAGATAAAACTTTATGCCATATATGAGCAACATTTTCAGGTTTGCGTAATATTTTTCTGGATAAAATACTGAGATAGCTGTTTTCAAAAATCAGCTCAAATGAGCGATTTTGCAATACTAGTATGTCCCCACATTGATAAAAATCATGTTCCTAATTGTTGAAATGTTTAAGTGATGTTTATTTAAAGTTATTGTTAAATAATTATTTATTTATATTAACAAGATGTAAATTGATATAAATTGAGTTAAGTTAAATACTCTAAGATTTTGTATTGAAAGGTTTTATAATTGATTTTATTATTTTATAGGCCTCAAGTATTACAAAATTAATCTATACATATAATGTAAAATGTAATTTATATGAAAATTGTGTACAATTTATTTAGTGAAATTTTTAAGATTATAATGATTTTTTTTGTTTTTTAATGTGATTTGAAAATAAAAATAACTATAAATTCTATTAAGTCTTAACACTAAAAATTAATATGATTCAAGCTTTTAGGTATTTTTAAAATGAAAATATCAAATTCCTATCTCTTTCTATTTTGGAAAAAAAATAAGCATCTTAAATTAACTTTGGTCAGTAAACTCACAAAGTGGGGATTGAATATTGCAATTCTTACATGACATGTTGTATGTAAAAGTTATTTAATTTTTTTATAATGTAAAAAAAATAATGGTTTGCAAAAATGATGCTAAAAATTTTAATTCAGATCAAGCTTTAACTTGGCAAAAAGGCCTAAGTATTAGGGATCTGCACCTGGGTGTTGCTAGGAATATTTGCAAGAGTTGCCTGATCCATCACAGCATATTAAATTTTCAGCCTAGCTCATTATAATTTTTTTCAAAATTTGCCCAGCTTGGCCAGTTAAAATTTTTAGAAAAATCGCTAATCCATTAAATTTTTTGTACAAAACTGGCCATCATTTTTAATATCTATATCTATATTTTTCTCAATGTCAATTAAGATCTCCTCTAAGACAATCATTTCTACAAATGTTTTATAAATCAATTGTGTTTGATATCTATTTGTAATTGGTCATATTTAAATAACTTAATTTTTTGTGTATTTACTAATATTATTTTTAGATTTACAGCTCTTAAAATACACAGAAATAACATTTATTTTTTAATAGTATTAATCAAAATAAAAATATAGCTAGCTTATAATTGAAAAAAAAATTTATCAAAATTTTAAAACTCGAGCTGGCCTATTAAAATTTTAAGAAACAAAGATCTGTGAGCCTACCTAATTTTTTATCTATAAATTGTCCAGCCCAGTCAGAAAAATTTTAATATACAAATTTAAACAATGATATTTGGCCCAGACTGCCCTCTATAATAAATTTAAATGTTCAAGCTTATATTAATTTTGCAGATAAATGTTATAAAGCTGTAATCAATGTATAAATAATTATACTTCCTAAGAGCAAAATTTTCTGACAAATCCCCTTTTTGACATGTTTTTTCCAATACTAATTTTATAAATATAAGAATAAATATTTATTTGTAAAATTTACATTAATATTTGAATCCTCTTGATCATTCTCAACTTGAGCAAATATTTGTTGATTGTCAATACCTAATGAACAAAACATTAAGAAATCATAATAATTCTAGCAGATTTCACAAATTTTGAGAAAACAAATTTTATTAGCCAAAGGTGTGACCAACATTTAGCTGAATTGGATAGGTTTTCATATATATTTCATTGAAGGTGTTTAGTCTATTTATTGCCTGCTTTTGGTTATGTTATATTTTTTTAAATACCCTTTTTAGAACTCTTATATAAAAATTAGGGATGTACTGATATTTTATATCGGATCGGATCGGGCCTATATTTCACCCATTTTAAAATATTGGTTATTGGCAAATATTATAAAATTTCCCAATCTGATCACAAAAATAAAATATAAAATTTTTTAAAAAAAGTTATATCTAAAAATCCATTTATTATTATAAATAAAATCAAAGTCCATTTTTATATTTAATTTTTTTTAATAGTAATACTTAGTTAATAAACATACTGCCATATTGTTATTTTTGTTTGCATTCTGGTTATAAAAGTGTGCAATAATCTCTTCAGAATCTGTTTTTAGTGAAGCTAGTGATATTTACAGTCCCCATCACCGCAGACTGATCTCTGATAAATTGGAAATTTTGGTATTTCTTAAAAGAAATCTTCGATATATTAATTTAAATATTTATTTCAAATTTCAAATATATATGTTTATTACTTATTATGTAAATAGATTAATAATGTTATTACTTATTATATAAATAAGTGATTTTTCAAAAAAACTATTTTATATATTTTTAGAATTGCAATTGAATTGAATATAAACTATAATTGATCATTATAATATTATTTAAATGACATAGTTATGGTATAGTTAAATTAAAATGTTATACTAATAAAAAGTATATAAAAAATTTGGTATCTTTAAAGAATACAAAATTAGATAAGATATCGAATCGGTAATTGGCCGATATCAATTTAATATTGGGGATATCGGATTGAATCGGCCTCCAAAAAGTGGTATTGGTACACCCCTAATAAAAATGTTTTTTTCAATTTTGTATTAGTCATTATTTTTATCCTTCAAATTATTTCTAAAGGGGTAGTGAAAGTGTGACATTTTTATTAGCCTAAAAGGTACATTTCTGGGGGGGGGGATTTCAATGTATCTACCTATTTGCAATATATTAATCAGAGACCTGCAGGCACAACCCTAAGCCTGGCTTAAAAAAATTTCAGGCCCGGCCCAGGTATATTTAAAAAACTATCCAGACCAGGTCAGGCCATATATTTTTAAAACCAAATATTTGAAATTGACATTATTAGCTATAAAAATCAAAAATGTATATAATATATTTTTTTTAAATCTGAGCCAGGCCTGAAAATTTTTTTAAAGGACCATGCAAATGGTACTTCTGCAGGTCTCTGATGTTAATTGTTATCTTTAAATATATAAACATCAATAATAAAAATATACCTTTTTTGACAAATGTTCGTGGTATGAATGGATTAAGGATGTGTAATATTGTTTCAATTATTTTTGAATTTTTACCTATGTTAAGCAGAGATAAAGAGAAGTGAGAAGTAATTTGACCAGTACTACATATATTTTTATATGAATTTAATATAAAATTTTGAAAAATTTTAGATTCTTGTGAATTGAGGAATGAAAATAAACTATTTTCTAATGAATTGGAGGGATTTATATTTGAATTATAATTATGTTGAGCTTCATTGATAGCACATTCATTTTCAGACAAAAGGTGCAAAAATTTTAATGCAAAATTAATTTCATTTGACAAATTGGACAATAATAAGAGTTGCAACTTTTTAAATGTTAAACTGTATGGTGATTCTATTTTAAGTAATTGTTCATTTTTTTGTAGTGGAAAAACTGTCTTGAAGTATTGATTCATTTGATATTTTGATGGAATTGTCTCTATGTCACATTCATCCATTGTTAATTCTCCCCTTTCAACTCTTTCATAGCTCTCCAAATATCTATAAAAAATAAAATTGATATATATAATGTATGTGTGAAAAAAAATTAACCTTGTATAAATTTGTTTCATTATAAAACAGCCATTTAAGCATGATTTGGGATATCCATAAGTTTCAAAAACATTGGTCCATTTATTGAAATCTAGCACCTATATATTGTACATAACAAGCATATTCTATTTAGAAACCTTATTTACTCCTCCCAAACACTGCACAATATTATACAATTTATAAAGGTCAACTTTGTTACCATCAATTTTTGGATAGTATTCAAGATCAGTTCTAAATAAATTTAAGAATTAAAAATTTGTTATATTTATACTGTTTGTTTTGATGGAATGTTTTCAATTTTCGATTAAACTCTTCATAATTATTTTCCATATTATTACTGCAAGCAACGGATATTATTTGATTATGTATAATGAATAATAAAAGTGTTTGTTCACTTTTAACAAGGTCGTGCAAATGTATCCATCCAAGACCGCTCCTAAGATTATGAATAGGCTAGTATTCAAAAGCATAATAGATAATGGAATATTAATCTATAGCTTAATTATCGCAAAATTTGAATGGCGCAAAATTTATTGAAGAGTCAGAAGTGATTAAAAACAGCAAATATTAACATAAGAGAAAGAACTAAACCAAAACTAAAAAAATATTTTTTAAAAAAGGTTTTATTTTATATCATTATATTTTTTTGTTATTTTATTTTAGCGACATATTTTATTTTTCATAAATTTTTGTGCGTGTTAACTTTTTATGTTATATTTTTTATTAAGCTCACCGGAATTATTTTTAATTAATAAAATTTTATTAATAATTTAATTCGTTATATTTATTAATAATTTGAAATTAAAGGTATGGTATCAAATAACAATATTTATTTACTTACAGGTTATCTATGTTATCAATAATAATTGAATGATTTATATTTCACTTCATTTTCTTAAAGAAAAGATGACATTTTGTTAGTATTCTTTTAAGTCACGTGTCATTTTCTAGTTCAATTAATTAAAATTAATAATGTTTAAACTCTTAAAAACTCTAAAGGTTTTTAGACTAATTGTATAAAAGTAATAACTGCAAGGTTGATAAATTGAAATAATAACGGCCATTTTCATATAATGCTTGAGGAAATTTTAAAAAATTAAAATAATTTTGAACAAGAATATTATATATATATAATTATGATTTATGTTTAAATTTGATCGTTTACTTTCCAAAATATTTATGTTAAAAAATGATCTTAAATAGTTAATAAATAATTTATTTATTTAATAAAATATTCATATAAATGTAATATGTAGATTTAAGGTAAAATAAAATTTAGTTTATAAATATGCCTCTCTTAAGGCTTATAAGTTTTAAAATACAACTTAATAAATCGTAATTTAAGAATTCAATATAATAATAATTGTTAATTATCAGACTACTTACGTGATTTCTATCTTAGTTTCATAGTAAATAATTTCATATAGTAAAATTGAAACTGGAATTACATTATATTATTTTTCCTTCCCAATGTTAACTGCAATTAGTATTTTTAAAAAGCTAAAAACTGTCCGATTTCGATTTTTGTCGAAATAATATAATTCAAGATTTGGCAAAAGGAGATTCCTTTCTGTCATCAATGAGAAAAATCTCCAGGCTTATGTTATTTTGAATCTTAATAGGGTCTTGACCCAAATCGAGGTTTTTAACAACACCTATTGTAATATTATGTACTATGTAGTAATCCGATTAATATATTCACTAGATATTGGCCCTAGGGCTATCGGAAGGAGATAGTAGGGCCTAGGAATCACAACGCGGAATCAGAAATGGTCATGAATAACGAATGGGCTTGAATCACAAATAGTGATTAATTACATAGAGATGACCACAAATCATGAGATTACAGAGTTTTAAACAAAAGAAAAATATGTCATAAATTTAAAAAAATAGTTAATAATTTATATATTGCTATAGTATAAATGAGTTTATTATTAGTAGCCAATTAAAATAAACATTATACAAATATACAAATATTTTTACTAACATAATGCTAAATAATTAGTGTATCCCGAATAGAGAAGAATATTGTTCAAGGAAGCCAAGGGGCAAACTTCAAAAAAAGGTGGGATCCATAAGAATAGACATGAAACTTATTTAAACAAAAAAATAGCGTACTAGTATTGTCCTTTCGGAAAATATATATAATCATATTTAAATGAACAACATATCGTTTTTTAATGAGTTGCAAAATATTTATCTTGAAGCAAACTTCAAAAAAGTTAGGATCAGTAGAAATAGACAAAATCTTGTATAAATAATAAATAGCATAATCTGTATTGGCCTCTCGAAATATACATATAATCCTATTGCGAACAAAAAAACTATTTTTCAAAGAATAATAAATATTGGCAAGGTAGGCCCAGCAAATATTGAGTATGCCGCTGGTTTATACAAAATATTTCTGAAATATATTTTGTGATAAGGTTTTACACATGATAATACATAAAACAAAAATAATTCAATGGATATCACCAGCAATGCAGAAGTTTGGTTATGAGTAGCTGAGATAGTAGGGAAATGATAGACTTACGCCAAATGGCGTATTAGCAAGAAATAAAAGCTATATTTTTTCTTATTTATACGCATTTTCCGAATCGATAAAAAGTTACGAAGTTAAATAAACGATAATTGCCCAATATTTTTTGATGATGTTCGAAATAGTTCTTAGTTCTTACCAAAGGTATATTGTTGATATAGACAAATTTATAAACCTTTTTAATTAGATATTAAAAAAATCTTCTTGTCACCTTTTGAAGGATCTTCAAGTGGCCTAGTAGAGGTAGACTTTGTACACTTAGACTCAAAGTTAAAAAATTGTATTTATTTACTGTTAATTGTAATTCTTAAAAATCATGATTAATTTACTTTTTTTAAATATTTAAAGCCATAGATGACACATTGATTAAAATCATTCAACATACATTTAAACATCCAACTACCAATATTTAGAGAAAATATGCTTCTAAAATTTAGTGTCAGTAAAAAGGAAAGTCCCCCAATATAGAAAGGGTGCTAACTGTTCCATCACAGATGGAAACAATTTAACCAGATGGGAATTGTTTTTTTACTGGTAATTTAAAAATCATAAAAAAATTTGCCTGATTATATGGGTTAATATTTTATAAATTATAGTTGTATTTTTTTATACTAATATTCATAGGATATGGTTTTGTTTTTTTCTTTACCTTAAATTTTAATGATTATATCCTATATTAATTCAGAACATTATTTTTTTTAAAGCATGATTGATTTTTAGATAGTAACATTTAATTTTTTTTAAAAAATAATTAGATCTATAAGTATGAAGATTACAGGAAAACAAGACTCGTATGGTTTGATTAGATCACATATGGTCTTGCTGATGCTGCAAAAAAAATATATTAGATTATGCTTAAGGTCAAAATACATGTGAAGATGATGTGCAACAGTATATAATTGAAAAGGTAAATAAGAATGCTGAATGGGTAATGAAAGTTTTGCCACATTTCTCAATACCCCGATTATGGTGTATGCTAACTATGGAGCTTCATTTTGCTTGCAAATGTATCTATTTAAATACGATGATTGAAATATAAAAAACATTTATTTTAACAATTCTGGATCCCATTGTTAATGTTATTGATTTTGAAGATTAATTACAAATGTTGATATTTACTAAAAGTATTTTAGTTGATTGTATTTGTCTAGTTTTGAATATATTGATCGATGTTATTTTATTATTTATTTTGGCAATTGATTTATTTTATATTATATCAATTTGTATTTAAATTTAATCGGTGAAAATTTTATATTAACATTTATACATCAATTTGTATTAGTTATTTTTTTTATTATTGTTTAAAAAAAAAGATATATAAAGAGATAAAAAAATGTAATTGTGGTGGGAAAATAAAAATGTAATTTATCATATAATAAAATTTAAATTATGACAAAAATAAAATATATAAATCATGATATTATTACTTAATAAAAAACTCTATTTAATTCCAACATGGAGGCTAATCTATGTCTGAACTCTGAGTAAGTATTATCTCAAAATTTGAACTTGATTTTGCTATGTACATTTATTCTATTTCACGCCTTTGTCAATTATAATTCTCTGTACTTTGAACAATTCCACATATATAACTGAATTTGTCAAGCTGAATTTTACCAAATTTAGTAGCCATGACAGCGCCTACATAGGGAAATTGCTGAATTTCTTCAACACCAGCAAGATCTCCAACGGAGAAAAGGCCGCTTTATTTCTCTGAAGTCTTCCTGATGACGAATTCAATAATATTGGGGCAATTTGCACTGAGGAAGACTTCCAAGACCCAATCGCCCTGCTTTGCAAATTAATTCAAGTTGCACTATCTATCGAAGACCGAGAACGATAAACTATCATTATTTTATGCTGCAACTCAAGGCAAGGATGAGACATTCTCGTCTTGGGTCACGCGTGTAGCACGACTCAACAAAGAATGTAAATTTAATGACATTCAGAGAATAATTGAGAAAGTGAGAGTATCTTCGTATTCCAAAGATGTCAGGAAAGCTGTCAAGAGCTTTATGACCATAGAAGACATTTACAATCTAGGTCTAGAAGAAGACACTGCGGACCCAAGTGGCATCAAGGGCGAGATAAAAATGTTACATTTGAAAGAATCACCTGGTGCACAAGAGGTTAATCACATGGGCAGAGTCAAAAATAGTTACGTAACAACAAAATCCATTCAGGACTCTCATGCACATGGTAAATCTCTTATCAAGCAACCCTAGTTCATCAATGACAATCGCCCCGCACAGTATTTCGATGAACGTTACGATTTACGCTGCGACTATTGATGTGACAAACGATTTGATGAACGGATATACGCTACGATAACGACCGCGACAAACAATTCAACAGACGGCACAGCAACTTCCACGACAATCGTTTTGATCAAAGCTACGATAATTGTCACTATAACCGCAACCGTTTCGATAATCGCAACGATAACTACGTCGACGATCGATACAACAATAGCGGGTACAACGTCCATGGCAATCGCCACGACTCTCATTGTGACCATCATCAAAGCCCTGATCGACGGGATGACTGCTATAGAGGTGATAACCGAACCAACTATTCCCGTCGTGGTCAGCACAGACACAACCCTCAAAATATTAATGGTTTTCCGAAATATTCGTCGAGGCCCAACCAGTACAAAAATGACAATAATACTTACAATAGATCTTCTGATTACAAAGATCGTGATTGTCAATTGAATACGAACCATGCTATGAACATCGAAGTAATAGATGATGACGACGACTCAAAAACACACTTTAAAGAATATAATCTGCAGAATTTGGAAGTGTACAATATGGGGGTCAAGGATTCCACATATGACGCGTACAGTACAACGTGACAGTGAGCATCAACAACATACCAACATTGATGCAAGTTGACACCGGTACCAAGTACAGTATACTTTCGAAGCTGACAGCAAAGACTGTAGGTATAACCGCGATACGTAAGACGGACATGAGACTCACTGGTTATGACGGCAGCGCTATCAAGATATTAGGTCTTGCCAATGTGAAGGTTAACTATGAAGGAAACTCACATACACTGGAAGACATTGTAGTGTATTGTGAAAAGATCCCCCTGCTAGGACGTATGTGGCTCCACACCTTTAACAACATTTTAAAAAC